TCCAAGGAGCACTCTGGCTCCCCTTCTTCCAAAACGGATCTATTGGCTCTTTTGGCAGCTCATGGCACTTTCAATATTCCCCTGCAACACCATAACTCAAAAGCATCAATTCTTCTACTGTCTTCCTTATGCACTGTCCAGCTTTCGCACGCATATGAGGTTATTGAAAATACCATAGCTTAGGTCAGGTGCACCTTAGTCCTCAAGCTGACATGTAAATCAAATATCTATACAGAATGATTATGTCATTTTGCTAACACTAAGAAAGCCACCGTGATTCTGAAGGTCATGATTTTAGACCAGTTAATTAGCTTGCAGTTTATTCAGCAGTTGTTGACCATGTATAGGGTTTCTGAGGAGGGGATGGTGAGTTTGAACCGCTGACCTTGCAGTTCAAACTGACTTTGTGATCCAGCATATTATTCTGAATGCCACACCAGGATTCCTATTTAGCTGTATGGCCTACTATGTTCTTTCTTGTACAGAGAATATAAAATTAGAAGTTCTTTCAAGCAGTATGAAACTGGAGCCTTAACTTCATCTTAAATCTTTGACCACCACCTACAAGCTCACTGCCATTGAGTTAATTCTGACTCATAGTGACCCTATTTGTTGTTGTTAGATGCCATGGAGTTGGTACTGACTCATAGCGATCTTATGCACAACAGAAAGAAACACCTACTGGTCCTGAGCCACCCTTACAAGTGTTGCTATGCTTGAGCCTATTCCTGCTTCCACTGTGCTAATCCATCTCATTTGGGGTCTCCGTCTTTTTCGCTGAGCCTCCACTTTACTAAGCATTATGTCCTTCTCCAGGGACTGGGCACTCTTGATAATATGTTCGAAGCTTCTAAGGAGCATTCTGGCTGTACATCTTCCAATACAGATTTGTTTGTTCTTTTAGCAATCTATGGTACCTTTACTATTCTTCTCTAACAACGTAACTCAAAAGCATCAATTTTTCTACATCTCTGTCATTCACTGTCCAATTTTCACATGCATATGAGGCTACTGAAAATACCATCATTTGGGTCAGGTGTACCTTTGTCCTCACACTGACATCTTTGCTCTTTAGTACTTTAAAGAGATCAATCTTGTGCAGCAGATTTGCCTAATGCAATACATCCTTTGATTTCGTGATTGCATCTTCTATGACTGTTGATGGTTGATTCAAGCAAAATCAAGTTTTTGACAACTTCTATCTTTTCTCTATTTATCATCATGTTATTTATTGGTCCAGTTGTGAGGATTTTTGTTTACTTTACATTGAAGTGCAATCCATACCGAAGTCTGTGGTCTTTGCCCTTCAACAGTAAGTACTTTAAATCCTCTTCACTTTCAGCAAGCAAGGTTGTGTCATCTGCATATTGCAGGTTGTTAATGAGTCCTCTTCCAATCCTATTATCAGGCTTTTCATGGCTTATTTGCTCAGCACACAGATTTAATAAATATGGTAAAAGAATAGAACCCTGGTACACAACTTAGCTAATTTTAAACCATTTAGTATCCTCTTGTTCTATTTGAACGACCACCTCTTGGTCTACGTATAGTTTCCTCATGAGCACAACTAAGTGTTCTGAAATACTCATGAAATACTCATTTTCTGCAACACTGTCCATAGCTTGTCATGTTCCACAAAATCAAATGCCTTTGCGTAGTCAATAAAAAACAAGTAAACATCTTTCTGGTATTGTATGCTTTCAGCCAAGATCCATATGACATCAGCAATGATATCCCTTATTGCACATCCTCGCCTGAACCTGGCTTTAACCTCTGGCTGTTCCTTTTCAATGTACTGTTGGAAATGTTTTTTAATTATCTTTAGCAAAATTTTATTTGCATGTGACATTAATTATATTGTCTGATGATTTTTACATTCTGTTGGGTCAACTTTCTTTGGAATGGGGGGGAAAATGTATCTCTTCCAATCAGTTGGCCAGATAGCTGTCTTCCAAATTTCTTGGCTTAGATCATCAAGTGCTTCTAGGGTTTTACCAATTTGTTGAAAGATTTCCGTTTGCATTCCATCAATTCCTGGAGGCATGTACTTTGCCAATGTCTTCAGTGCGCCTTGGAATTCTTCCTTCAGTACCACTGACTCTTGATCACATGCTACCTCTGGAAATGGTTGATCATCGATGGTATCTTTTTGTTACAATGATTCTGTGTATTCCTTTCACCTTCTTTTGATCTTTCTGCATCATCCAGTAATTTGCCACAGAATCCTTCAATATTGCAAGTTGTGGCTTGAATTTTTTTCTTCAGTTCATTCAGCTTGAGAAATACTGAGTGTGTTCTTTCCTTTTGGTTTTCTAACTCCAGGTCTTTGCACATTTCATCATAATATTTGACTTTGTCTTCTCAAGTGGACTTTTTAAATTTTCTATTTAGCTCTTTGACCTCATTTCTCCCATGTGCTTTAGCATCTCTTTGCGGGAGATAAAGTTTCAGAGTCTCTTCTGAAATCCATTTTGTCCTTTTTCTTCTTTCTTGTCTTCTTAGTGACCTTGTTTTTTCTTCCTGTATGATGTTCTTGATGTCATGCCACAACTTTTCTGGTC